TATATATATATATAGCAAACACACTCACTGCCATCAAGACGATTCTGATTCATAGTGACCCCCATAGGTTTTCCAAGACTGTAAATCTTTACGAAAGTAGATTGCCCCATCTTCCTTCCATGGAGTAGCTGGTGGATTTGAACTGCTAACCTTCAGGTTAGCAACCAGATGGCTTATCCACTAGGCTACCAGAGCTCTTTATAACATATAAATCCCAGTAAAAAATTAAATCTCAGAGGAAGCAAAACCATACATACTCATGGAATTGTGCCTTGATTGCTTGCTTGGCAGTTTGAGGTTGAGGCTTGTTAAAGACAGAGATACCAGCACCGGGGCCAGAGAGTAACTTGAACAGAATATTGTTGACCAAATTTAGGGCTGTTGGAGCAGCATGGTATGCCTGGTTGTTAAACAGAGCAGTGATGATCATTTTGCTTTTTTGGACATCAAGGGAAACAGCAACAATACATTGTTCCCTACAGCTTCTACTTTTCAGTAGGAACTCTTCTAAGTTACCTAGGATGGGAAAACAATATGCATAGGTCAACATGCATGGTGGTTTGACTCCATTCGACAAACATTTACTGACCTAATGCTAGGCAGTGTGGTAGGCTCTGAAATACAGAGGAAGTGGAGGAATTTACAATCAGGAAGAATGGCTATTGTGTATTTTGGGGTCAGGAGAAGAAACAAAAGGCATGAAAATAAACAATCTCTGTCCTCATCTGGAAGATGAAACATTAATGCACCATCAAATGAGACAGGTGTTATATAAATGCTAACACAGAGGATGTGAGCACTGAGGGAAAGATTTAATTTTAAAACAAGACAGCATAGGCTGTTTGTTTGGCACACTGGAACACCCAGTCTTTACTGCTGGCTCTACCATTTATTGTCTTACTTGGGTTAATCATTTAACTTCTTTGAGTCTCACTTTTGTTGTGAATATTAAATGAAATCCTGCATATTAAAGGACCTACTAGGCTTAAAAGTATGGTAAATAAGAAGTTTACTGATGTGTAAACTCTGTGAAAGTACAGCCTTGTTCATCTTTTCATCTCTCAGTATCAAACAGCTTTTGGACAATTACAAATGGTTGTTCAATTAAATCGAATTCATTTTGTTCTGGTTCTTTTGTCAGTTCATTATGCATAATTCTAGTCCATCAAAAGGTAAAAACTTCTAAAGATTTCCATTCGAAAGAAGCAAAAAAGCCACTTAGAATTCCATCGTTACTTAGGGAGGTCAGATGTGTTCAGCCAGGTTGGCAACCCTATATGTAGACTTGGGTCACTTTCTTATGCTATGAGCATGTTTTTAAAATGTAGTCCCAGATTTCTGGGTAAAGGTGGGTGGGACCAGGGATAAGAAAGGACACGTTTCATACCATGTTTTTCTGGCTTTCCTGAGATTTATGACACATAGGAGTAGAAAAGCAGTCTGTTCTAATTTGTGAAGAGTATGAACACTCTTCAAGTCATAATGAAAGTCTTCCCACACCACAAATCCTTCTTCACAAAGCCATTACCTGTCACTGGGTGAGGCAGTTGTTTCTCATTTGTTAGTATAAGGTTTAAGTGGTCTCTAAACCAAACAGCCAACTCAGTTTTCACATTGATAGAATAAGGCACAATAGATTGACCATATTGGTGCAAATCCATTCCCAAAATGGTGGCATTCTTCACTTCTGAATAGTAGAAGATGGCTTTCAAGAGGGAGGCAGTGAAAAACAGTAGTATCAAAATCTGCAATAACACTGTCTTCCAATGACGAAAAGTATACAAGGCCCTTTTCATCAGCAAGGCATAGAATTGCTGGATGCAAAGAACAATCTACAAAGAGGAGAGAGACATAAAATAGACTTCTAGTCCCCTTTCAGGAGCTTTGGTGATGCAGTGGCTAAGGCATTTGGCTGTTAACGAAAAGGTCGTTGGTTGGAACCCACCAGCCACTCTGCAAGAGAAAGATGAGGCAGTTTGCTCCCATAAAGATTTATAGCCTTCTAAACCCTATGGGACAGTTATACTCTGTCCTGTAGGGTTGCTATGAATTGGAATCAACTCATTAGCAGGGGGTTAGACACCCTTTAGGTCATGGTTTAGAGGGCAATTACTTGATCATCTAGGCTTGGGTTAGGTACCACTCTTATGTGATCTCCCAACACTGTACTCTTTCCCTATCATATTTATACCATAATTGCATGTTTAGTCAGATGCCTTCCTTGCTGGACCACAAACTACAATAGGACAGGCACTATTTCTGTCTTCTTCATGGTTCAACCTCTAAGGTCTAGCATAGAATGAGAACTCAGTTAATAGAGGGAAAATTCAATTCATACTGGTTGACTTGAACTGAAAAATAGGCAACTAAAATTGATGTTCCTTATAGTGCTCACAGACAATAGTTTAATGTAGGTATGTATATATGATATACCTAATCAGATTGCTAGAAAAAAATAAGTAAGAGTTTCTAGCAGAAAGAAGAATGATAGAACAGGATTTTCACACCAAGACTTATGGTTCAGTAAGAGACAGATGGACAATAATACATTTTAACATAATGTAACATAATATGCTGAGGGTTCTGTGGGAACACAGAAGAGTATCATATAGATAAATGTGAAGGTTCAGGGAAGGATTACTGGATGAGATAAGGCTTGAGTTGAATATTTAAAATCAGACTAAAAACATGAAACAGCTTGGGAGATAGAGAAGTCTAGGTGTTTTAAGAGCATAATTTTCAAAGTGAGAAGTTAAAGAAGGGAGGTTAGAGATAGCTGAGGCAATTTCTGGAAGGCTATATATGCTTTGCTAAGGAGTTTGGATTTAATTCTACAGATAAGGGGGACTCAATGAAGGGTTTTAAGCATAGGCTTTAAAATAGGTCATTGAGGTATAATTTAGAAGATGGATTTAAAGGTACATATGTAAAACTGTGGGAGACTTAAGACTAATTATGTGAGATGACCAAGGTTTGAACTAGAAAATGAGAGTAAAAATGGAGAAAGAGAGATTAGAGGAACATTTAGAGGAAAACTGTCAGGTTATCTGATATCAACTGTCACTCAACTGTCTGGTTGATTTTCTGTGGGTGATACAGAAGAACATGTTCAGGATTCTGGTTTGGGTTTTAGGAACCTTGTGGGGAGAAGTGACCGATCATGAGAAAGATTGGGGTAAAATACAGATTTTTACCATAATCTCCACTGTTAACCAAACTTTCCAATTTCATAAGTCAAGGAAAAGTAATACCCCAGTATTAAACCGGATATCAGGCAGATTCTCTGGCATCAAGAAGTCACCCTTTGGCTTATCATCCAGAGTTGTGAGGCATGGCTGAATTCCTTTAGGATCATGTTTGGAGATGAGCTGAATGGCCTGGAGATCCATCGTGGAGTCTGCCAATTTGGTGACCCTGCATCAAAACACCACATTTTAACTATGTTCTGTGGAGAAGATCCAAGAGAAGACAGGCCCTCATCGAGCTGAAAGTTCAATGGAAAGAAAAAGAAAACTAATGAGTTAATTAAATGTTAAAACTGGGAAAATGTTAGTAGTAGCAACTAACACGGCCTTGCTGGGCTTAGGGAAGGCCTCTTAGATGAAGTGAACTTTAATTTGAGAACTAAAGAATGAGTAAGAATTAACTAGGTGAAGAGGGCAGAGAGAACATTCTAGACAAAGTGAAGAGACTACATGAAGGGCTGAGAGTGAGAGAGGGGACTGAATGAAGCCCATACACCTAGATGAGAGACGAGGAGGGGTAGCGTAGTACAAGCTGGATCGTGTGTGCCGTTGCTCCTATTATAAAAGTGTCCTTCTCCTAGTGTAAGGTTAATCCATTCATCTCTGCTCTGGCTTCTCTGCTTTCTCCTCATTAAGAACTTAATCACCACCTTTGAAGTCTTGCTC